AAAAAAAAAAAAAAAAAGACTGACTTCAAAAGGAATGCAGGGCTGTGGAGATGGCTCCACAGTCTGAGCGCTTGCCAGACAAGAGCAAGGACCCAAGTCGGATCCCTAGTACTGCATGCCGTGCTGGCCCTGGAGCCCCAGGCACATTGTGCCAGCCCTGAAGCGGGATGTGGTGGCACACACACCTGTAATCCCAGTGCTGGGGAGGCTGAGACAGGAGGATCATTGTGAGTCCAAGCTGTGTAAGGAGACCCTGTACCAAAGGAATAATTATTTTTTAATTTAAAAAAGAAATGCAGCCCTGCGCTGTTTGCAAAAGACCCACCTGAATACGAGGGGAAAGATGGACTGGGAAAGATTTGCTAGATGAAGGCTAATCTAAATAAACCCGGAACACATGGAGTAAAACGGTTCCAGGCTCAAGACAGGCTAAGTGTGAGTTCCAGGAATTTGCCTTTTTGTGCTCTGCGTCATGTTGGAAGTTTTATTGGTCCAAAGTATTCCGATTTCTCCCCTTATTTTTTTGTTTTGTTTTGTTTTGTTTTGTTTTGAGACAGGATCTCACTGTATATCTCAGGATGGCCTTGAACTCACAGCAATCCTCCTGCCTCAGCCTCCTGAGTGCTGGGACGACAGGCGTGCCTCACCACACCTGGCTATGAGTAATAATAGTCATAGTATTTTGCAGTTCTGGGCATCAAACTCAAATTTGCATATGCTAGGCAGCAGTCTACCACTGAGCTACCTCTAACCTTTTTTATTTTAACCTTTTTTTATTTTTTATTTTGAAACAAGGGCTGGCTAAGTTGCTAAGGCTGGGCTGGAACTTATGATCTTCCTGCCTCTGTCTCCTGAGTCATTGGTACGACAAGGGGTGTGAAACTGAGCCCTCCTGTCCTCCTGGGTTTTTACTGAAGGAAATTCTAATGCAATCATGAATTAATGACTTGCCCCCATCTCTGTGTGCTCAGGGTGGGCCTTGGGTGTCACACACACTTTGCAGGCACTCCACTGCTGAGTGCAGTCCTCAGCTCTGATTCCCAATCTTTGCAGTTTTGTTTTTTGATACACGTCTTAGCGTGTAGTTCAGGCTGTCCTTGAACTCATGGAGATCCTCCTGCCTTGGCCTCCTCAGTGCTGGGTTCACGGGCATGTGCCACCACGGGGCTCCTCAGTTTTTTTTTTTGTTTGTTTGTTTTTTGTTTTTTGTTTTATTTTTTTATTTGTGAGTGTGTGTGTGTGTGTGTGTGGCCAGCTCAGCCCACCAGGGGGCGGGGCTGGCTGGCATGTGGTGAGGGGGATTGAACCGTGGTCCCTGTGCTTTGCTAAGCTTGTTCTAAGTTAGGTGCTTTAGACCACTGAGCCATCTCACCAGCCCCGCTCCTCAGTTTTTAAGGACTGTAACTAGCGATGGGATTCCTGGACTGCGAAGCCTGCCTGAGTCCATCTCTTCCTTCCCCACCCACATCTGGGACAGCCAGATGAGCAGCATCTGGGTGAGGTGTAGCTGTCACCTGCTTTGGGACAGCCCTGGGCCAGACTGTGTGGAGGAACAATGGTGCCAGGGCCATGCGCCAGGGCTGTGGCTGGCAGCGTGGCGCTGGGCAGAAAGGACAAGGTTATCCAAATGAGTGGAATGCGGACCCGTGGTCCCCAACAGAGCGCGCAGTGTCCTGCTGCATGCATTACGCGAGCCCGGCCGTGTCCCCATGAATGACCCCCTTTCTCTGGCCTCCGCCTTGTGACCGTGGCTGCTGACATCATTTCCAAGCCGAGTGGGGACGGCCCGGCAGCTGCAGAGCCGCTAGCCGAGTTCCAGCTACGGTTTTCGGGCCCCGGCACCAGCCTCTTCCTCTCCTTACAAATCCAGTTTCACTTCGTGAGTGCGCTTCCCCCAAAGCTGTTTCTGGGTAGCTGCGGGCCGCAGGGAGCTGCTCGTGGACTCCTCCTTGCTTGAACCCCGCATCAGAGCCCCAGCCAGCGAGCGCCGGCTGCCTCCTAAAGGCGTCATCTGGTCTGGTGTTAAACTGGAACTGAGGAAGTGTTCAAAACGTTAAATGAAGGCCCTGACCCGGAAGGGCTTGGGAGTTTGCATTTTGTTTTTATGGACTATGAGTTTTTTAAAGTATTTGGCTTTGGACCTTAGTAGTTATTTTTTATTTATTTTTTTTGGTGGGTTTTTTGAGACATGGTCTCATTATGTAGT